TATTTTTTTTTTTTAGACGGAGTCTTGCTCGGTCGCCAGGCTGGAGTACAGTGGCGTGATCGCGGCTCACTGCAACCTCCGCCTCCCGGGTTCAAGCAATTTTCCTGCCTCTGCCTCCCGAGTAGCTGAGACTATAGTCATGTGCCACCATGCCCAGCTAATTTTTTAGTTTTAGTAGAGATGGGTGTCGGGGTTCACCATGTTGGCCAGGATGGTCTTGATCTCTTGACCTCATGATCTGCCCACCTCGGCCTCTCAAAGTGCTAGGATTACAGACGTGAGCCACTGCACCCAGCCTATTTATTTATTTGTTTATTTATTTATTGAGATGAAGTTTCGCTCTTGTTGTTCAGGCTGGAGTGCAATGGGTGCAGTCTCAGCTCATTGCAACCTCTGCCTACCTAGTTCAAGCAATTCTCCTGCCTCAGCCTCCTGAGTAGCTGGGATTACAGGTGCCCACGACCACGCCCAACTAATTTTGTATTTTTAGTAGAGATGGGGTTTCACCATGTTGATCAGTCTGGTCTCGAACTCCTGACCTCAGGTCATCCACCTGCCTCAGCCTTCCAAAGTGCAGGATTACAGGCGTAAGCCATTGCGCCTAGCCAAGAATTCTAATACTTGACTTCTACAATGTGCTACATTCATTTTCTCACTTGATCTGCCAACCTGTGGTCAAGGAAGCGCGTGGGCCTTGAAGCTAAACATACAGGATTTGGAACTCCCCACCCACTCACTGGGTCCTCATACTAATTACTTCTCTCTCTCAGCCTTAGTTTCCTCATGGGTAATATGCCTCCCAGGGTTAAGAGGAATAAATGGGATCTTGTGTGTAAGGCTCTGGCGCTCGTAGCTGGTGTTCGTTATTCTTATTGTTCAAGTATTCTTATTGCCACGTCTTTCTTGCAGGTGAGTCCTGCAAATGTTAAGCGATTTGCTCAAGGTGCCCATTTCGCAGGGATTGGAGCCCAGGCCAGTTCTCTGAGCCTATCATTAGGGCTAAAGGTGAGCAGTCAAGTGTTTTACCTCCATGAGGGCTATTGGCTATTTCTTCTCTCTATTGGCTGGTTCTGAGTGAGGGGCCTCAATGCAGGAAGCCACATTGTTGCCTTCTTGGCGTGAGTCCATGGGACAGGGTGACTACCTTGATGCCTGGGCCCGTGCTGCCTACGTATTAGCTGAAAGCAGGGCCAGTCGTGCGGCTTTGCCCACTTGTCTAGGGTTTAAGAGCAACTGCTCAGGGGCTTTAAGCATTTGCCATGCCTGAAACCAGAGTTGGTTTCTGGGTTTATCGAGGACTTGCGGAAATCTCAAAATAAATCTCTTGCTTTCTGGACCATGAGTTGTTGCTTCCTCTTTTCTTCTCTGGACTTTCCCCAGAGGAAGAGAAAGCAGAAGTGTCAGGGCTGGAGACAGCTGAGGGGGATCAGCTGGTTCAAGGTGTGGAGTGTGGGCAGTGGAGTGAAGGCCTGGTTGCCTCTCCAGTGAAGATTAGCCCCGTAGCGCTCACTCTCTGGGGAAGAACTTCTCCGACTTCTTCCTGTCTAGTGTAATAGTGGGGTGTTTGCTCTTTTCAGAGTGTAAGTTTCGCCTTCTTACGTTAGAACCCAAGGCCTGGGCATTTGCGTGATTTAGCCTGGATTTTGATTCCTGTCCCTTTTTTCCTGGGGGGTGTGGGGTGGTAATTCTTTACCTTCTGGTCCTGTGAGGGGAGAGCAATCCCAGGACTCTGGGCCTTGGGGCTTGGCATCTGGCCTTCACCACGGCCAGCCACAGCCTTGAGCTTGCTGCTCTGTCTGGGCACTGCCAGGTGCTGGGGTGGGGCCTCAGTCATTGTGACTGAAGATCAGGCCCACCCAGACATTGAGGCCTCGGGGGTGGGGGGGTGGTGCCCAGGCTGATGCAAGGGAACTGAAGCAAAAAGATTCCGTCCCACAGGTCAAGAGCGAAATCAGTGTTACGTCCTGTAGCCAGAGAACTGGGTGCACCTGAGCCAGTGGAGACTTGTGACTTCTCCTTCTTCCAGGAGTGCATGATCAGAATGGCGTCGGGATGGTTCTACCTGTCCTGCCTGCTGCTGGGGTCCCTGGGCTCCATGTGCATCCTCTTCACTATCTACTGGATGCAGTACTGGCGTGGTGGCTTTGCCTGGAATGGCAGTATCTACATGTTCAACTGGCACCCAGTGCTTATGGTTGCTGGCATGGTGGTATTCTACGGAGGTGGTGAGTAAGAGGTCAGGAAGGGAGGCGGGGTAGGGCCCAGACTGGGTAAAGCTGCACTTTCCCTCTCCAAGGCTGGCCTTTGTTAATGTTGGGTTTGGGGCTATGTGGGTAGGGTGGGTTGGGCTGTCTCTGGGCCCAGCTGTCATTTGGGGGAGGAAGGGGTTAAGACTGGGGGCATCTTAGAAGGGTGGCTTCACAGATACTCTAGGGCAGGAGTTGGCAAACTTTCTGTAGAGGGTCAGATAAATATTTCAGTTTTGCAAGACATAGAATCTGTGTTGCAGGTACTCAGCTCTGCCACTGTATTGTGAGAGCAGCCATAGACAACAGATAAACACTAGTGTGGCTCATGTGTTCCAATAAAGCTTTATTTGCAAACATAGGTAGCGAGCTGGATTTGGCCTTTGAGCTGTAGTGTTGTTTTTTTGGTTTTTTTTTTTTTTTTTTT